CAGAGTGTGTTAGTGTCACCAGGTGTCACTTCGCTCGCCCCTGCCCTTGGTGGGACGACTTCCCGGCAGCAGAGCCCATGCTTGGCCGCCTCATCTCAAGGCTGTACCATTTTTTAAAGTGAGAGCAAGAAGAAGCCGTTGGCCAAAGAGATGGTGGAATCTCATTCCCCTTACAATTATTGTTTTTTAACTACCACACACCACCCAGATTCTCTGAGATCTCTTGCCCAAGTCAAATTCTGAGTATGGAAAAGACTGAGTGAACATACGTATCAATTCTAAAAAAGCGTGGCAGCAACATTAGAAAGTTCTATTTCATAAAAGAAAGTTTGAAGATTGTAAAGAAACCAAACTTAGGACATTGAAATGTAATTCATAATATTATAAAAATAATTCTCAAATACAACAATGAACCACCACCCCAAGGCGCCCCAGGACGCGTCCTGTCAACACGCAAACTCACGGCGAGCAGGTCCCAGGAACGGCGTCGAGAGCGTTCATGTGCAACCAACACACGGCCGCACGGACAACAGAAGAAGGATCAGGGTTTTAGAGCGTTACCTACGTCTGCTATTTGCTATTATATTTAGGTGAATGACAACTATGCATCACCTTAAAATCTCAGTCCCTATCCCACTGCAGAAGCTAGAGAGAGAACGGGCACGGTTAGCTTTTATAACAGAATACAGGAACAGACGGACTAAAAAGCAGGAAGAAATTCAGCAAGGACACTCTGCCCCATAAAATACATAACTCACGAATGCAAAAACAAACATTTCTTCAGAGACTGGAGAGCTGAAGTTGTCCTTGGCACCGTCGACATTAAGTCACTGGTGTTTTCCAGGAGGTGGGGCTGCGTAAGTCTCAGCTCACTGGGCTCTCCTTTCTAACAGGCTAGCTAATGAAAGGAGTATTTACACACTACACGATTCACAGCTAAATCTAATCTTTACTTGGGTGATAAGCAATTTGTCCTTCAAAATCAGAAGGAGCAGGCTCAGGATTTTCAAAGTTTTTAACATTTTGTTGTTTCACTCTCCTATGAGACCTTCGCATCCTGGGTGGGTTGCACATGGGCGTCAGAGTGGTAACAGCATGAGTGAAACCACTTGTACCCTAGAACAGGGTAAAACAGCTGCCAGGGGCAAACCTGTGACCCCTGGCTAAGGTGCTCTGGGCCTGCATCAGTCTTGTTTTAAAGTGGGGCTTTAAAAACTGTGTTCCATAGATCACTGTTAGTTTGAATTCAGTAGGTGTTCTACAGCTGGAGTTCAAAGGATATTTTTATGGGATTATCTGAGATTTTTATGTTTTAAGTGTCTATGAGGATACACAATTCCTTGTTTCTTCATCTGGCCGAGAATTACATTGTTATAGCCTATCTGTGAAGTCAAATGCGATGTTATCATATATTATAATGAGTGGAAAATATTCTAATATGTTTTCTCTAACCTTGAGAAAAAGCAACAATAAAGAGAAATAAATGCTACTACATTCCCTAAAAATTCCCCAAATTCTTAACCTTTTGACACTAATAGTTATTAGTGTATTATTATTCTATTGTCCTTTCCTTAACGAGAATTTCCACAAACTCTGAAAATTATTTCCTTACCAGCTGCCATTTAAAACCTTATGCCTTCATGATAATTTCTAATTATTATTCTTCATATAAATTTTAAAAAGTTTGAGAAACTTCTGCTTTAAGTAATCTCTTTAAAATAAGACCTGCCAAACAGTTTGAAAAGACCCTTGGGCTTACTTATCACTAATTGTTAGCATGAGTTCTTATAGCAGTTGGGAAACCACTTTGAGCTGTGAATTGACAGTGATTTATATTGGGAAATCATTCTTCGGTATTTAGCAAAAAGCTTGTTAGTCATACTATCAATATTATAACTGCCTAAAAAATGAGGACTTTAAACGATCTGTTTGGAAACAAGATTTTTGTAAATCAGGAAATAGGATTATTTTGTAATATCCCTTTGAGTCTATTTCTCTGGCTCCTTCCACACTGAAGAAGAAAAGAATAATATCCTAAAACTGCAAAATCCCATAGCTGTTGTCCTCTCAAAAGGATAGAGCACAGTAAGTTGTAAAATCTATATAAGCAGCAAAAAAATTTAAAAAACCAGGTTCTTTTTTTAAAGGGCCACCGTTACCTTTTTGTTTTCACCTTTCAGGTTTTTTTTTATTTTTGTTTTTTACGTTCGTTTTTAACCTTGTTCGTTTGGGGTTGGCCCTTCCGTAAGGGGGAAAAAAAAATACAACTTAAACAGATCAAAGAGAAGAATTTCTTTATAAAACCAACAGCCCTGAATAATCACAACCCTACCAAAATAGTCTACTTGCTTTATTGGCTCCACTGTTGTATTTCTAGTATTTTTCTTGATTATTTAGTGGGTTCGAGTGCCCTGTATCACCTAATGTTAAATGATGTCCCTATCAATTATGGTAACTAGTAGACAAAATAATCCAGCAAGTAGCTGCTAGTCCATTTGTCTCTATGAGAGTGCAATTTATGAAAAAAAGTTCTTTTTTATGCAAGGTAAGACTGAGTCAAAATAAAATATAGCTGTCAAGGCAGCTACAAGCACCACATCTTGATATCTGTATGTTTGATTAAAAGTTATATACAGTGATTTAAAAAAATTATGAGGAGAAGAAGCTGGAAAGGAGAAAATATTTTTTCCACAAAGAATCTGTTTGGAACACAGAAATAACAGTTGCAGCGCTTTTATTTCAGTACCCAGGCATATTGTTGTTATTTAGAAACATAAGGAGAATATAATATTGCCCAGCATGTATTTAAAGAAGGCAAAAGATAAAAGAAATCATCATAACACAACTTGTCTCTTATAAAGGAAAAATTTTCAATTAACACCACTTTAAGGCTCTTAGGCTCCTTTTTATCTTTCTAGAGCTTTGTCTCAGCTCATGAGTGTCTTTCATCTCATCTGCTGTACTTGACTGATGCCATTGGAAAGCCTTCTTCATCACAAGTGGTGACGATACATCTGCTCTATTTGCTAATAGAGAATTAAAGTGCGCTTCTCTCTTTGCCAGAGAATGTGACCTAGAATAGCCCTAACGAATATAAGTCAGCATACACTACTACCAACACTGGGGAGACAGCCCCGCCAGTCCCCCTAATCTTGCAGAACATATTGTTAACAGCACTGTATCCAACAAACTCATTGTTCTGCAAACTCCAAATTACTATTTGGTCACAAACTGAGCTACATGATGACAGCTGCCAGGCTCTCTGCTTAGGGCCTTGTGCCCGTCGGCCCTCTGCAGGGGGATCCAACCTAAAGGTCACTGGGTGCCTAAGAGAGACGGAGCTTCCTTTTGAAGCCTAGAACATTTTAGCCCTCCCAGGGCTTGGGCGTTCTGTGTGTGCCCCCACATCACTGCTCGTCCCTCAATGAGGAAGCACAAGGCCCTTTCATCATCTTCATTTGGCTAATGGCTTGTGTAGTATTTGCTGCAGCACAGATGATTTGGGACATCCGTGTCCAGGATGGTAGCAGGATCGGTTTGTCACTTCAGACGCTATAGCCTGTTGCTTTGGAATCTTCAGGAGCCTGATTATCTAGAGCTTTACTCAATACACACACACAAATTTTTAAAAGCAAAAGATCGAAAGTAAGGTTCCTTGAAGAAAGGTATTTTAAGGAAAGCCATGAAAGGCTAAAGGACAATTACTTTAAAAAGGGCGAGACATTTTTCAGAGGTGAAAAGACAGCTAGAAAATGAAACAAGGCTTGAGAAAATGATAATTGCAATAATAGCCCTAACATTTACTGAGCTCTGTTGTACTTAACTCTTTGCTTTCCACAGATTATCTCATTCAATATTCTTCATTTCCTTTTAAGGTAGTTACGACTAACATATACGTTTTAAGGATGAGGCAGGACGTTTAGAAAAATCAGGAAGCTTGTGCAAGGCCCCACAGCTAGGAACTGAAATCCTTTGCTGAACCAAATGAAGTAAAATTTTGGTGTGACATTTGAAGCGACATTGCTAGGTCTCAAATCCAAATTTGTAGTGATATAGCAGTGGGCCAGAATTTGCGACCAGTCCTTGAAAACCAACATTATGAAAAGAGGAAGACTGAAAGAAAGCTAGGGCCAGATCTCTGAAAAGAGATACAGAAATAATCAAAATTTAATTTGGACAGTACATCTTTCCACAGACACAGGATCGAAAGCAGAGAAAGGGAAGGGTGACAATTCTGTAACATTGCCACTTGTGTACAGCAATCAAGGAACACAATTACTAGGTGATACATCTGACAGCCAACCAAGCACCACGTCAGAGTAATCACTACACACTTCTGTCATTAACCTTTCCATGTTGTTACCTAAATCTAGATTCTAGTTAATAGAATTGATATTATTATTTTTGCATGCAAAAAATATGTCATTAAATATGTCATACGATGCATCCTCAGAATGCATGCTTGGCACTGTTTCTTAGTGAAAGCTTTGTTCTAAACCTTCTACTCTCTTACAGGAAGAATACAATTTTACAGAAACAATTATAGCAATTAATTATTTGCAGTTTCCAAGAGAAATGTTGACTTTAGTGCACTTGGATACAATTAGGCAAATTTATCAACTGACCCTGAATTTCATAGTTTGCATTCTTACTAAGGAAAATCAACTAGTTTTCTCCATGCTATTAAGCTAATGATTTGTTCTTCTGCCATGTATGCACCATGGGAAAAATAAAACACTTAGCAATTGTACCATTTGCCCCTAGAATAACCTTTCTTCAGACTAGTTAATATTACAGACATGTGATGACCATGTCAGAGCAGTCAACCTTCTCCCCTTCATATTTCAAAGTGACTTGCCAAAGATGCCAGAATGAGATTAGAAAAATATTTATTGCTCTGTTGGATGTGGCTCAAGATCTCTCTTTGCTGGTAGGGTTACCATGATTATTTTTTACCTTACAACAGTTTTTAGAAGGTAGCAGAGAGAGTAGTTACTCACGTTCTCCTTGTCAGGAATCCCTAAAGGAGGAAAAAGAGACAGAGAGAGGCCATGAATTGCATGATCAACCCGTAAAATGGAACTGAAATCCTTTGCTGAACCAAACCAAGTAAAATTTTAGTGTTTTAAATTTGTGTTTCCATAAAAACTTACATAGTGAGACTAAAATAAATCAATGAATCAGGAGCAGGGTTATGAGCCCAGACAACAAAACCCATGCTTATTTTGTTTCTCTATGTGCTTTACTTCCCCAGTGGTAAAAATCCATCACTGATTCATTCACACCATGTAAGCAACTAATGCCACTGACTTAGGCACCAGAACACTCAGAATTTGGGACAGACACATCAACTCTTAAGTTGCACATATTTTATTTTTACATAGCAAACCACTTCACACTGCTCCAGTGATTTATTTTTTATTTTTATTGTTTTGTCATATGACAGGCAAATACTCCAGTGATGTAAACGTAGGAGCAAGAAACACAGAAAACCTACTGGAAAACAACTTCCATTTTGAGCAAAGCAAACTCCTACTGCCTCCAAGTCAGGTCTGAGCATGGCAGTGGCTATTTCCAGGGGTATCTCAGTATTCCTAGCTAAAAAGTTAATTCTTCATCCATTTACTCATTTGTTCATTCATTTGCAAACATTTGATGGTATCTACTACAGCTGGCCCTATTCCATTTCACTTCCTTTGGGGCTGCTCCCCTGACCAGCACTGTCAGGTTGACCACACTGGAAGGGTCACAGCTCCAGCAGAGCCTGATGTGCACAGCACAGCAGACACAAGTGGCTTTATATTGAAGAGAGAGAAGCACAGGTTGTTTTTATGTGTGGCTTGCACCTAGCTTTCAACAAGTGAAGCAGTATGAGGTGGTTTGCAATGTGAAAATACAGTGTGTCTACATTCTGAGCAAAGAGGACATTCTGTTTACACAAGGGGCCACCTGGAATTGACAATGTTAGCATTAAAAGAACTGAGTGCCCATCCTAATAAGCAGCAGCACAGTATGCAGGAGGGGTAAGGATGGAAAGGACTATTTGGAAACATTCCCTCTTTAAAGCTTTGGCCACCCCCCCAACGGAGATAGCACCAGGACATAAAAGCTCAGCCAGGAAGCAAGGGACAGAGTTGTTCTCTGAAAGAGAGTAATAGGTATCTTTGCCATCACTTCCCGGATCTGTCAGAAGGAGGTAGGATGGCCTAGTGTCAGCACTCGGAAACTCATCTGGAATCATCCATCCATTCATCCACCCATCCATCCATCCAACATCCATTTGAAAGAACTAGAGTTGACAGCATGAGGTGTCTGGGATGTAACTGAAGCTTACTCTCTAGGAGGTTCAATAAGATAAATATGTAATTGCACAAATCACCATATATGATTGGTTAAAAATTAGGCTTTCTGTAGAGAAATAATACTGAAAGGGTGATTTGAGGCCATGCAGGAATTAGATAGTTGGGCTAAGGCATTAATAGCCTTGGAGTCTCACCTTCCATGGCAGGCTATGGACAATCATGAAAAGGTTTTGAGTGACATGAGGAGGGGAAGGAGACTGTTCAAAACTAAAAGATGGTGAAGACACAAACACCAGGTGCAATGGCCTGGTCTTTGACTGGACTCCAGTTTGAGCAATCAGGGAAAAGGGAATCCAGTTGGGGGAACTATAATATGGACTGGGTGGTGGATGTTATTAAGAAAAGGCATGCCAGTCAACAGGTGTGATAATGGTGCTGTGGTTATACATAGAAAAGTTTTTATTTTCAAAAATGTCTGCTGAAGTATTTGGGGTGAAATGTCTGTATGTGACTAGAAGAAGGAGCTATGACAAAATGTTACTATTAAACTACATATTACTAATAAGAAATAAAATCATATTTAAGCACTAAAATATTCATTAAATCGAAGTGAGTAAAATAAGGGTGTTAACTGTGCCATTCTTTCCACTTTCCATATGCTTGAAATTTTTCATAATAAAAAGTAAAAAAAAAACCCAAAAAGTTCTGCGGCAATCAGAACTTGGTCTACCAGCACCCATGGTAGACCAAGGGTGAGACAGTGAAGGTTCAGAGCCAGTTGAGTCGTCTCTGCCCAGCCCAGGAGGACAGACTGTGAGTGCTGCAAAGGAGTGAGGGCAGGACGCGTGAATGGACTCAGTGGTGGGGACGGGAGAGGTGTCCATGGTGCGTGCAGTGTAGAGCCCGGTGTGGGACAAAGGCAGAGTTGTTGGACATGGGCCTTGCAGGTGGCAGACATGGTTTTGCAGGACCCAGTATATGTTGTTCCCTTATGGACATTTTGAGGTTGAGGGGCAGCAGGCCATGTGGGCAGAGAGAGAACCAGCAGTCACTGGGAAAGTTGGGCTGCCCCTTGGAGGAATCAAACAGGATTTTGGCTCAAAAAGTATTTGTGTCAGCTGTAGGAAAAGGAAGGAAAGTATGGAGAAGAGAAAAACAGCCATGACTAGACTCTTAGCAAATATCTAAACTTTGCGGGGAGGGGAAGAAGGACCTATGAAACAGTCAACAATGCCAGTGGCTGGAGAGATCTGAGAAAACCAGCATGGTGCAGGGGTGCCCTGGGCACCAAGGGAGGAGGGAGTCTGACCGTGGACCGTCTTATTCAAATCAGAAAGGGTGGGGAATGGGAACGATTGGGTCTGGTTATTGGTTGGTCACTGGTGACATTAGAGTGGTTTATTCAAGAAGTATGGGTGCAGAAGCCAGACCTTGAGGGGTTCAAGAATGACTAGGGGTGAGAAAATGATAGCTAACACCACCTGGGTGCTTACGATATGCCCGACACCCTTTCAAACACTTGGCATGTTTTGATTCATTTAATCCCCACAACAATCCCATGAGGAAACTGAGGCACAGAGAGACTAAGGGATTGCCTGAGGTCTTACAGTCAGAAGACAGCCCCGCTGGGATTTCAACTCAGGTGCTCCTAACTAGCCACTTATACCTGGTTCAGCCAGGAGAGAAAAAACCAAGAACAGAGGAGGAAAGGAAAGAAAGACCTGTCCCTCCTGCCCCCTACCCAGCCCTACCATGGGACAGTAGAAGTCGCTAAGGGGAGAGAGGGCTGAGGCTGCACAGAACACATGAAACAGGACAGGAGAGTGAGGATGCTCACTTGAGATCTTGGTCAAGCGGGGAAAAACTTGTCCACCTGCAGAGTGGCAAGTCTGGGAGGGAGGACGGGAACTTGCTGCTGGCTCAAGCACTACAGCTCCAAAGACCCTTGTTACACGTACACTGGTGAGAGCTTAATAAACAGACTCACAGATGCCCAGAGCAACTCCCAGCAATGGTAACTAACGCGTGCTAAACATGCCTCCGACATGCATGAACGATAAACAGACTCAGAGGACACAAGGTGTCTTTGAGTCCAGTGGGCACCTCCTAGAAAAGAGTCTCACAGAAAAAAATTTATTTCCTTTTATGACCAGCCAGAGACTCGTCTCTGTCAAAGGCCTGAATTTTTAAAACTGAATTTGTTTAATGTCTACAACATACTGTTTTGATATACACATACCCAGTGAAATTATTACTACGGTTAAGCAAATTAATCTGTCACCTTCCACAGTCGTGTGTGTGTGTGTGTGTGTGTGTGTGTGTGTGTGGTAAGAGCACCTAAACTGTACAAAGGCCTGGAATTTGAAGAGGCCATGGTTTAAGAAGATTAAATAAACAACTCACACTGCTTCTCTCCTTGACCAACACAGTGAAAATACGCAAGAGGAAGGGCTCTCAGGTATGTGGATGTGACCAAGACAAAAACAGTTCCTGAATCCCATTTTTATTTTTTTTTTTATTTATTTTTTTTTTTGTATAGCCTGAGCAGCTGAATTGAATCCCATTTTTAAAAGGGCACAGAAGCACAGAAACTGGATTTCACTATAAAATGAAGGCATTTTGAGAAAGTATTCTAAGCAAGCTGAAAGTCCAGCTGGCACCAGAGCCTACGTACCTCCCTTTATCAGCTAAGACCACACAGTAATACTATATTAACCATTTCTTTAAAAATACCCTAAGTGTGGGCTGGCAGGTTTGTTTATCCACAAGAGTCTGGAGACTACTCCGTCAAGCTGGTGTAGGACATATTTTTTGTCACATGAAAACACACACCACACGACAAATTTTTAGATACAAAATGTTCACATTTTCCACTTACTGTCATTGTTAGAGCCTGTTTCCATAACACCATAAGGAGGAGCCAGAAGTCCTGCCATATACTGTCGGTATTTCTGAAAGACAAGATTGTAAACTCAACACATAGATATTTACTTGCTTTGAGCATCCATTTATTTACATGTTAAAAAGCAGAAACGTTGGGTGTCAGGAAGCATCTGAGCCTTGTATTTATAGAGCCCTCAAACGTGCTCTCTAGGGTCTGTGGCATAAAATAAAGACGTTGTGCTCTAAAGAGGTCTTCCTGAATACGCCTGAATGCACCAGGCCCCCACCCCGCCTGGGGGCAGGAGGTCTCTCTCAGCCCGCTCATTTATGTACTTGTGGCTGACTGAATTGGGTGGGCTTTTCACCCTCCTCCACCCCTGCTCCCCTCTCCACCCCTGGAAACACATGCTCGGCTTTTTGCAGAGGGAAAAGGCACTTGGTTTCTATAGACACAGATACAGATACATGTGCTGCCTTCTTAATAGGTGAATGGCACTGAATCAGCTTCTTTCAAAGCAAAAAGACATGCATCTCGAGAAAAATGTCTGTTTTGAAAGAAGCTGATTCGCTTCCATTTACCTACTTCCTTTTACACTGTACACCTGCCTGCTATGTGACCTCCAAAGAACTTTTGGTATGTGTCAAATAAAATAGTCTGGCTTAATTTAGAACTATTTGGATTCCCCTGAATTGTATAAACCTGGCTTTAGGGCCAGGCATGCTCTAAGACCTGGGGCCCAGGAGCCCCAGGAGTCTGTGCTGTTAGGGAGGAAGAGGGCTTGGTGAGCACAAAGCAATCTAGAGCAGCTAGCTAGGGAGGAGAGACATGGACAAAGAATGGAAAATGAGGACTAGCCACCCTCTCTTCTCAGGTAATAAATACAGCCTCCTCCCCTCTCAGAATGGAAGCTGGGCCATTTTATTTATTGCACAGTGTCATGTATATTTATGGCTTATAATTATGATGACACACCAATGTTAAACAGCATCAAAAGAGCCACAGCGTGCTCGTGGGTTACACAAACGTCAGCAGAAAAGGCTTCATCTGTAGCAATGGGCAGCTGGCGACACGCAGCATTCAGGCAACCATCTGGCCCATTTGGTAGATGTGAATGGCGTTTGTAATGTCACATTGACGCTTTCTCAAAAGCGCCTTCTTCTCGTCAAGATGTGACTAGCTTTTTCGAAAAATATTTTTTTCTTCTCATTCTGAGGCAACTATACTAACACCTGCATGCCAGCATTAAAACCATGATTTTCTTTGCCTCTGAGCAAACTAATCACTCAAACGTACCCGCAGGACCCATGTATCACCCTGCATTCTTGACATCTCCTTTGATAATTTCCCAATCCCGATTCTCTTCTTTCTTATGACACCATCTACTCTTCTTCTTCATGAGAGCACACTCATTAAGCACATTTCTGGGCATCATGTTATTCTGGACAATAAATAAACCAAGCTCAAAGAGAGCAGATGAGGACTGGGTGTGTTCTAAGCTTTTGTGATCCCCCTGTAGCCTTTTGGGTTAATCTTCTTATCGTTAGCAACTCTCTAAGAGGCTCCTATAAGAAATAGTTCAGGTTAAAGGGGCCGTTTTACTTTGCTTAGAGATGTTGCCTTCATGTGACAGATGTTCTTTGTCTCAGGCACCTCAATGTCAACCCTCATGAACTTCACAGAAGCATCTTCTTGATTCCTGGATGAATGGGACTTTACCTCCTTCAAACCCTGTAGCCCCTGGCCTGTTGCTCTCTCGTGGAACACATCATCAGGGCCAACGCTCGTGGGAACAGAGAATAGAGTGGCCCTTTGGGGAGGAGCATGCAGACTGGACTTCAGGACATGTGTGTATTGAGCACTGACTGTGTGCAGAGAACCTAGGCAGAGAACAAGCAGACAGGGTCTCTTGCACTTGTGAAGACTCTATTTTCTGCAACATGGGGCACTATGTCTTCCACATAATATGAAGTTGATACTTAACTGTTGAATTTCTAAATTTTTTCTAGAAAATTCCAAACAAACATAAAAATAGAATGCCACATAATCCACATCCAAATTCAATAATTATTAACCTATGACCAATATTATTTCATCTCAACATCTATCTACTCACCCATTCCAGCATTATTTTGAAGCAAACCCCAGCTACTATATCATTTAAACCATATATATTTCAGTAGGAATCTCTAAAAGATAATGACTTCTTTTTTTCAAACAAAACCACAATACCAATATCATAGCTAAGAAATGTAACAACTTCATAATATTCAGTTGATGGTCAAACTTCTAATTGTTTCATTCATATCATCATTGAATTGAAATTAAAAATAGTTTAATTAAAGAACATTGGTTACAGTATAACAGCTTTTGTTACAGGAGAGATTACAAAAACAGGGTTGAAATATTTATACTTGTAAATGAGAAGTCAATCTTTTAAAATTAATGGAGTACTTTTTAATAAACATTCACTAAAGCTGGGAAATTTATTTCTTATATAGCACTCTGCAAAGTACCCTATATTAATTAGGATAAAAAGAGCTAACTAGAATAAAACCGATATCAAAAAATTGGGATTCCTAAATTATTTACATATTGCTTGATCTTTGCACAGCATTTCATCTTCCAAGAACAAGTTCAAAAAAGTCTATAAAAGAAAATACCACATGGAAAGATGCCGAACCTTATTTATAACAGAAAAGCATATCAAAACTATAGTGCAATATCATTTTTACCTGGCAAAACTTGGCAAAGTTTCAAAAAGTTTGCTAATACCCTGTTGATGAGAATGGAGAAGACAGGTTCTCTCATCTATTGCTTATGGGAGTATAAAATGATACAACCTCAGTGCAAGGCAATTTGGATCTAACTACTTTTAAAATGCATATTTCCTTTGACTGAGCTAGGACCCTCCCTTAGAGGGCAGTTGTAGAGGCCTCCCTTGCAGGCCTTCTGAAATACCTGAATACCTATGCAAACATGTGTACCTGTTTGTAATAGTAAACAACAACAAACTGTAAGTAACCCAAATATTCATAAGTAAAGGACATTCTTCCTGATAAGTAGATTATGGTGAGTTATCTTTTTTTTTATTTATTTCAGGATATTATGAGGGTACAAACATTTTGGTTACAAGTAATGCCTTTGTCTTGCCCTAGCCAGGGCTAGAGGCATGCCCTTCCCCCATACAGTGAGCACTGCATCCATCAGTTGTGAGTTTACCCACCCCCACACCCCCATGTGACCGACACCCAATGAAAAGTGCCCCCATGCGAGCACCTTAGTGTTCATCAGTTAGTACCAATTTGATGGCGAGTACATGTGGTGCTTATTTTTCCATTCTTGTGATATCTCACTTCAAAGGATGAGCTCAAGCTCTACCCAGGATAATATAAGAGGTGCTAGATCAAGATTATGGTGAATTATTTCTTGATAAATAGATGATGTTGGAATAGTATGCAGCCATGCAAAAGAATGAAGCAGCACTATCCATGTAAATATGAAATGATCTCCACAATTTACTTTTAAATTTTAAAAAAGCAAACCACAGCATTGTATGTATAGTATTTCACCATTTTGTGGGGATAAAAAGATAGATGTTTGTGTTTGTGAATATATATAAAGATTTGTAAATGCATAGACTATCTCTGGATAGATACACATAAAGTAGTAACAAGGGTTGCTTCTGGAAAAGTGATCTGGTGGCTGAGGGTCAAGTGGGAAAGAGACTTAGTTTTCACTGTTTATCCTTTAGAACTTTTGACTTTTGTACCTTGGGACTCTAGAACAGCTAATGTTCTTCTCTATTTCACATGTACTATTGAACTTCTGTACTAGATTTCATTTGAAGGAAGGATTCTACCTACTAAAACAGAAACAAAACAAAAAAGTCACACAAACAATAAAAACCAAAACAATTATTAAAAGAAGGAAGAAGGAAGGAAGAAAAATAAAAGGCCATATATGAGTGCTCTGGTCAACTATCCCAGCTAATCCCGGCCTTCAAGTCGTCCCAGCCCAGAAACCAACATGTGAGGAGGAAGCCCCAGAGGAACCCAGCCCCCATCTAGTCAAGTCTCCTCCAGCCATTCGAGCCACCTTGGCCATTCAGGTATTCCCAGAGGAGGCTTCAAATATCGTGGAGCAAAGTCAAGTTTTCCCACTGCACCCTGTTCAATTTCCTGACCCGACCCATACAATCTGCAGGCGTAACAAAGTGGTGGTTGGTACGTGGCACTGAGTTTGGCACAGTTTGTTACACAGCAGCAGATAACTACAGCAGGATTTGGCATCTGAAAGTGAGGCGGTGTTGTAACTAAATCTAACATGTGTGGTGTTAATTTCGGGATTAGAGGTGCCAGGTGGAAGGAAGCCTGACAGGGCTGGGGGGACCCGATGAGGGTTTACGGAAGAGCGAGGGAGATACCAATGGAAGAGGAAGGGCGCGGACCCTGTGTCGTGGTGGAAAGTTTAGCAAAACCGACACCTGCAGTAATGTGGAAAATGGAAAATGGACCTAATGAACTGGTGGGTCTGGCAAAGGAGATTTCCAGGCAGAAAGTGCCAACTGTTTTCTTCCAGCTAGCAGAAGACACAGATACAGACAGATAAGCTGACACAGGAGTCGTTTAGTTTGCAATCATCATTTAGGGTAAATACAAATTAGGGTCCAGGACTTGTAACGTTCAAAAATAAAGCTGTTTCTCATCTCCAACCTCTCTCAGCAAAAGACGTTCAAAGTAAGAAAGGGTTCTTGTGACAAAGATCAAATGTAGGGTGCTGGCAGGCAAACAGAGCCTCAGAGTACAGAGGCCAAGAGTGAGACAGTTAAACCCTTTTGTAAGACTTCTGAAAGATTTAAGGTGGTGCTTCATAGGTTATTTTAGATAGACAAAAGGCTTCTAAAGAATCTTAAGGATGTTGTATCACAGTAACTTCAAGAAGGGTTCAAAGTAGAGAAAAGGCTTATGCAAAGATACATGTGGGTTTGGCTTTTGTCCAGTGGAGTGGATTATAAATTGATACATAAGAAACCCACCAAGGTTTTAAACAAATTACACTATGTTGGAC